AAAGTTTGTATGAGTATATTTTGTACTATAAATATATAATAAATTACAACTATAAATCTTCTATTTCAAAATTACTATTAACACAATTATATTACTTTTTAATTGTAATAATTTTTGCTTGATTTCAACAACTTATTTAAATCTAAAAGTTATGTCTTGCATCTTCTTTACTAATATTCTTTTAATTTTTTTAATGTGCCTACATTTTTAAATCTATCTTTAATGATTTATTTAAATTACCAAGTGTTTTTTATGTTTGCTTATCTTACAATAAGTTGTTTTATAATATCTCAATATGAATATATTATTTGGTTTAATTTCTAATGTTATTTAAGTTGGCAAATACTTTTTTATAACTATTCATTCTATGACAAGTTTCAATCTTTATACTAGTATATATTAATAGTTAACTAAGCTAATAATTTAAAAAACTTAATACTATTTTGACTTAAAACACTAACAGTATATACAGTCATCCTTCCATACAATCACACAGTTGGGTACATAGTAAATTTTTTTCAAAATGCGCTTATATAGGGATTGTGTTTATATAAAGATCTTTTCTTATAAATTAAATTATAGGTTGGCCTAAATATAAATATGACTACATATAATGTAATTATATGGGAGGTAACTATATGGAGGGATGACTATATATAATTCTACTTTTTATTTTTAATAATCTGAATTATGCTATATTTAATTTTTTAAAAGGTAATAATATAATGATTATTTCTTCAACAGTTAGAGTTAACTCTAAGATTTAAAATAATATATCAGAAAATAATTGCAAATAATAATAATATTAACAAGCTACTTACATATGCCTGGCACTTAAAGGTTTAGCAACAAAATGTTAATAAAAAATTCTTAGCAGATTAATAGCAAATTTTAAGCATTTGAATTAAAATAAATATTTTTTATATAAGTAATATACATTAATTTAGTAAATAATTAAATAAAAAACCTTAAGTTTTTTATATAAATAATATTAATATACAAATAAGTGCTTCTATAAGAAAATAAGATTTCTGGCTTGGAATTCTCAAGGCTAAGTTGATTTGATTATAAGTTCAGTAGCCTGAAGTCTAGCTTTCTTTTAAAAACACTCAAATACAAGCACAAAACTATCATTTTTTTATTGCTTTGTATTTTTTGTATGATTCACACGCTGTACTTAATAGCCATACTAATACGCAAATATTTCATTAACCAATATGGCTTAGGTTTATTTCTTTATATAAGCCTTAATAGCCACCCGCAAATATTTCAGTTACCAACATGGCTTAGGTCAATGATGGTTTTGAACAGTTTTTAACAATTTTAACGGGTTTGGACAGGGTTTTGGTCATATAATAAACTGTCCAAAACATGCCCAAAATTGTCCAAAATTATCCAATTGCCAGCACTGGCTTAGATACTTTTCTTTATATGAGCCACACGCTGTGCTTAATAGCCATACCAATATGCAAATGTTTTCATTCACCATATGGCTTAGGTACTTTTCTTTATATAAGCCACATTCTGTGCTCAATAGCCACACGCAAATATATTATTCAACATGTCTTATTTGCATGAGCAACATACTGTGATTAATAGCTACATGCAAATATTTTCATTCACCAACACGGCTTAGTTATGTACGTACGTACGTACATACATTTCTTATATATAAAATCACATGCTGTGCTTAAAATATTTTATTCAACATGGCATCTTTGTAACATGCTGTGCTTAATAACCACACGAAAATATTTCATTCTTTATATGAACCACATGCTGTGCTTAATAGACACACGAAATATTTTCATTCACCAATATGGCACAGTCTTTTGCAAAGTTTTAGTGAATTTAAACTTTGCTGAGAGTTTTTACCTGCGCCAGGAGTTTCGCCTTTCGCCAGGGTTTCGCCTTTCGCCAGAGTTTCGCCACTTTCGTCTTTCGCCACTTGCGCAAACCAGTTTCGCCTAACAACTGTAGCGACATAATTGGTCCTGCATCATAATACCCCTCTTAACTTATGTTAGATAAGATAATACAGATTTTGGATAAGGGATTTCTTTTGAAGTTAATTCATGATCGGATAGGGCTCAGATATTTGAATCGCATGCTTGGTTGGAGAATTCTATACAATAATTAAATAACTTGTCTATAATGGGCAATTATAATATAAGGCCAGACCAATTTGATTTGGTGGTTTACATTACCCCCCTTTTGAAAAAGGAAAAATTTTCACTTAATAAAATCAAATGTAGGATAATCGATCAAATGTTTTAAGAATTTAATAAAATTAATTATTACAGATATAATAATAAATACAGGTGTCAATGTGTTAATACGTAGTACAAAATCCGAACTATTTTTTTGACTATGTTAAAAAAGAGACATGCCACTAAAAAAAAGAATTAAAACTATATCACGCTGGTTTAATCGATCCAATTACACATCTCTTAATAAGTTTCAAATATTTTGACATTCTCGTGATTGCTAACAGTATTAAAAGATAAATTAAGTGAAATTTGCAAGTATTTTCATTTGTCAAATTATTTAAATCAAAAATTTAAAATACTGTTTAATCTATATAAACAAATCAATTTACTATCCATTAAAGTCGGCTGAAGTTGTATGTGATGGAATGTGGTCTTTAGTTGTTGAAAGAACAGGTTCAACTGACGAAGGCTTTTCAGTCTCACGTGATCGAGGTTGGTTTTTTAGTTGTTGTAAGTTCATCTGACGGAGGCTTGTCAGTTTCACGTGATTGATCCTTGGGTTTAGTTGCTGAAGACTCAGGTTTTTTACCAAACAAAGGTATAGTTGGTTGAGAAATTGATTCAGTTACCGAAGGTTGGGATGCAGGTGAAGAACCTTTAGGGTTCTTGCTTAATAGTGGATGATAATTGTTATGATCTAATAAGAATTTCATTGTAACCTCTTCCACACTATTAGTAGAATTAACGATGTCACTGATTGAGCTTCCATATTTATCACTTAAATCTAGCTTAAGTGCCATTATAGAAGTTCTTAAGTCAAATACAGCCACGGCATAATTTTTTTTGAAATCTTCAAACAGATTATTACTAGGATAATAAGGTTCATCAAATCCTTGAGTAACGAGAGCAATAAAAAAAATAATATACGTTTTAGTGATTCTTTTACTTTAAGATTTATAAAGTGTAACATCATGCTTAATAAACAGAATTATTGGGATATATACTTTTTTTCAAGGGAGACGCTTGAGCAACGATGGCAATGGATGCCAAAAGAACAAAGAGAGTGTTCAAGAATTTCATAGTTATTTTTTAAACTGATAGTGTTAGTTCAAAGTGTTTACTGGGAAATTGATAGAAAAAAAAAAGCACTTTTCTTTTTTTTTTCGCGTTTGTATCTGTTATTACTATTATTATTTTTGAACTTTCGATTCTTTAGGCCAACTGGTCTTATTTATATCTTTA